GATCAGAGTGAGGGTGAATGCACCGATGATAACACGAAGATGACACAATTTGACAAGATGCCCTCACGAGTGCCTTACGAAGTTGCCGCTCACTAAGTTGCTGCCGGAGCCTGAGAAACTCCACCGGCGGTCATACGATGGCTTAAGATGCCCTCACGAATGGCCCGATGTTGCTACGATCACAGCCGAATTTGAACATTTCCTTTATCGTGTGTCCATCGGGTGTCAATTTCGGGACAGTGTGACAGGGCCTTTAATGGGGCTTCATTTTAATATCGTAACGGATCGAAAAGTTTAGATACATTTTTCAATAAATGGTGCGCTTCCACAAACAACAAAGAACATAATTATTGCATTCAAATTAAGTACGTTGCATACCGCTATTTTATTGTCTTTTTCGGACACCTTTAAAAACTGCCAGACTAGTGAAGCCATTTTGGCGAACTTGTTTTGCCCCCTACAGAGAAAAGTGTCATGTATTTTGCATCACCTGATCGGCTCTCCTGGTCGGCCTTTATTAAGAGTGAATATCGGCCAATAACGATCAGCGACCGATTGATCGGAGCATCCCTACTAATAAGTGACTAAATAAACTACTAAACCCTATCACGACGACACAAGTCCACCTTTAGCTTAACGGTGTTGATGTATATTAGCCTAGTATTAACTTTTTACTTCCGGCGATTGCATTTACTTATTTTCCGCAATATACCAAATTCCAATGGGAAAATCCTGTTTCTTTTTGTTGATGGAAACCTTATGGCGCTAACGTCCGGGTTGGCCAACCAAAATAAGGCATCACTGCAACACTCTTAGACAGCAGTTCTTTATAGTTATCCGAAATTATTAATGGGATGGACTCTTGTTTTCACATTAACAAACACTTATCATAAAAATGAGAGCCAACAGCAGACTAACAACGAGCCTGAAACCTAACTTAATGGTCAGGTCCATGCTGCTGAGGACTTGCACTTCCACTCGAATTTCCTTGCACATATTGAGAATGTGACTATGACAAAATAAATGAATGAATGTTAAATCTTAATGTGGTATTTCATCAAAATTCTATATTTAGGCGAGGGCGTAGTGAAAGCATTTAAATCTAATTTGTTTTACGTGTCAGAAGCAATCTGAGTCATTTGCTGACCTATATTTTTTTGGAACTGGACACAGTGTTTTCTTCCTAGTATTCCACTGAGAGCTATAAAGCAGAAAAACTAGAGAGAGCTGGGGATTTACTAAACGTTAAGCATATAGAGTGGTGCAAATGGTATGTGTAATGCATCATCTCAGTTTTTGGTACAGTACATCTCGCCACTATTGTTCCTTGTTAACAGCTGAGTCAGGGATCCTGTGTCCACCCAAGGTACAAAGCTATTTCCCATGGCCTCAGCTGTAATATAGAGCACCTCCACTCAGTACTACAGAAATCATTACTGCTGCAGGAAAACCATAGGACAGCACCAACACACGTTCATGTTACAGAGAACAGAAAGCCTTCATATACATATCAGTATATCTAAGGGTATAGGGGTTTTACAACTAATTGAAAAGTCTTAATTTAAAAAAAGAAAGAAAGATGATTCTAACCAATTCACCACAGTTGTTAATATGCCTGTGGACTGTACAGAATATGTATATAGCTGCCGGATGCTGAATATAAAGCAACTGTATTTACACAACACAACCCACTCGTGTTTTTATTGTCAATGTCAGGATATGGTGCCTTTATTAGCTAACAAACGCTACGTCTAAAATCATATGTTGATATTTTTCTGCACTTCTGCACAATAAAATAATCTGATCGTTATTCCATTTTTGGCAGACCTTACGAAGGGCAGAAAAATAATTGTCAACTATCTGAGATAAGAGAATGTCCTGGCTTTTTCTGAGTTTGTTCACATAATAAAGTGAATCTGCATACTGAATGGATCTAATACTATATACCACGGGGTGAGATCCTGCGTGGAGCCCCCAGATCGAGGGAGATTATCAGTGGTTTTTTTGTATTGATATATAACGCCATTAATACGTTTATTTTATTTCTCTGAAAAAGCAAGGCTCCATATTAGAGAACTTATATAAAAAGTTATATAAAAATGGTAATTGGAATGTCACTAAAGCCCCATTCGAATTAGATTTAGTTCTCTAGGGGAGGTGGTATGATATTACCAATGCCTGCACTGGTCAGTGATTTTCTGTCCAGAGTGCACAGCATGTGGGTATTTCTCTTTTTTAACAACAGTGGAATTCCATGAATGTTCAACATTTATTAACATGGTAACAGATGGAACATCAAGTCAGCCAAGACATCTGAACTAAACACTAAGGAATGGAAAGAATGAATACAGAAATGTTGCACACCACATCAACGGCATTCACAACCGCATTCTCTTTTAAACCTGATGGTAAATGGACTGCATTTATATGGCGTATTTTCCAGTCTTTGCAACCCCTTTTAGCACCTTTACATACAAAAGGTGCCTACCAGTAAAGGAGACTAACATTCAAACATTCACAAATCGTTGGCCATGCCACCGTGAGTTAGGGTTATGTAATGTATGTATGCAAAACAACCAATGATAGAGCAAATACATTAACAAGCAATACACATCACCAAACCTGTCTCTTAAAGAGGTAACTTTTCCCAATTAAGAGTTGGCACGATTGGACAATAAAGCTTCAAATGTGTATATTGATTATATTGATAAAAGTAAATAATTAATATGATTTACATGGTTAATTATGTTTTTAGTATTTCAGCCGGGTCATTGAGGGTTGATTCCCTATGTAAATGATATAAGACATTTCATACTGGATCAAATTATAATAGTGTTATAGAACAGCCAACCATGTATAAGCTGTTCTTTTAGTGTTTTTTTGGTGGAAATGGACTGAAAAGATAACTGTCTCTTAAATGCATCGTTGTTATTGTGAAAGATTGTATAATTAAAACAGAGATTGTTGTATCCTAAATCACAGTATTGTGTACACTTGAAAGATGGGTAAAGTAAGTTGGTGTGCCTCAAAAGGGCAAAATGGCTGAGGTGGAAGAAGTACTCAGGCCCTTTACTTGAGTAAAGGGTCAGTTTTACCCTCCAACGGACCCTGGACACAACGCGTACATTTGTCAAAATCATCACTTTCAAAGTAAACACTCAGAAATACATGAACCAAGATAAACAGCTTTTTGTCACGTCACAAGGGACTGCTTAAGATTATTTCATGCCACTAAAATTAATTCAGGCTTAAAAGCTCAGAAAATCACATAATGTGTCTTCTGCTGTCAAAATAAAACCTACAATATTGTGCATGTGGGAATATATTTCAACATATCAGACATGTGGAGCTACTGTCAAAGGAGCTCTAATTAAAACAAGTGTACAGCTCACAAACACAATGGTGTGTGTGTGTGTGTGTGTGTGTGTGTGTGTGTGTGTGTGTGTGTGTGTGTGTGTGTGTGTGTGTGTGTGTGTGTGTGTGTGTGTGTGTGTGTGTGTGTGTGTGTGTGTGTGTGTGTGTGTGTGTGTGTGTGTGTGTGTGTGTGTGCGTGCTAGCTAAACACACACACCTAGCGTACATACAGTATGTAACCCATACGCTCTGGAGAGTTGCATCACCCACGTTCCCCTGCTTACAAACACACAGAAGAGTACACACCTCCCTCACTGTCTTACTGCACCTGTGTGTGTTAATGTGTCTGATTGTAATTATGTCTCCTAAACTTGGTCTGAGCATAGTTGAGGTTATGACATTTGGGTGAATTTGACCTTGTCTTTCCATTCGTACATAAAACGAAGATCATCTATGACCTGATCTATGACCCCTGGGGCAGCACACATTAGAACCATAGGATTTATAAAATACTGATTCTGTGTCTATTCTTTACATCACCCATAGGATTATGTAAAGTGGTTATGTAGCTAAAAGTTGGCAACTGTGGGCGTCGCCATGTTGGCAGTTACGCAAACTCCTGACTATTCCAAAATTAACATCTTTGTTGGAGTTGAGGCAACTTGTGGTATGGCAGACAGCAAGCGTTCCAGACAAAATTCCCCTGTAACTCAAAGTGGTCAGGTCCTGAGAAAATGTAAGCCTTGACATAATAAAGAATACAAAAAATCATACAAAAAATGCCCCAACCGTACAGTTGTCATTAATAGGGATATGAGCTGTAGAGACAGTTGATTTGTGCCTTAAGGTTGGGCACTTTACCATGGGGAATGGCTCAGCCAGCCTCAAGTGGCCATTCTGTGAACTGCATGTGTTGGCACTTCCTGAAAAAGCTATTAGTTTAAAAGACCTTGGCAAATGATCTAATCAAGGTCAATTTCTTTTCATATGCTTTTTCCAGAATCTTTAACTGCATCTCGTGGTCTTGACAGCTGATGGTGTTAGCTCAGTTCTCATGGAGATGGTTGATCTGTAGATATGTGGGAAATGTAGCTGCCTCTTAATCTGTGCTCATCTGTATGTCCACATGTATGAGGTTTCGGTGGAATCAAACTCTTAAGCGACATGGAGATGGTGCAGAGTTCAGTTCTGGATTACTGTTTGGACTGTTGTCAAGTTAAGTGTGAAAAACATTAAGAGTCAACAACATTTGTTTATCTGGCCGAAAAGTCTACTTTTTTATTTTTCTGATAATAGTATTTCACTGCAATATGTATTTCCACTAAACCTCTTGCACAATAGTTGTTGGTCGAGAATGTCTCTATTCTGCTGGTGGGTCACTGTGCCATATTCTCACTTGGCATGGATACAGACCTGGTTCAGGTCTTGGTTTAAGGCCAGGGCATACATATAAATAGTGGGTTTCTGTTAGTTTGTTGGAAGCTAGCTAAGTATAATTAATATCCATTCTTTCAAAGCCAGGTGATTGTGACTCAATCAGTCCAGATTCGCACTGGTATAACTTGTGTATTTTTCTAAATGTTCTTGGTAATGGGTCATGAATGTGTAATGAATTAAATACAAGATAAGAGTTACCCTCTGCCTACCGTTGTACAGACTATGGTGGTGGGGAGACATCTCCTCTCCCGCTGCTCTCCTCTGCTCCCTGCCTGGGGATCCACCGCTAAACCTCCCCTTACCGTGCTCCATCCCGGGGCTGTGCTGATAGTGCTGGTGGGGCCGTATAGACTCCGGACTACCCACGATCACCCGCCCTTTCCTCAGGTGCTCTGGGGTCCGCATCGCTGCAAGCATGGCCTCCGGACTCCCACAGCATGCCCCCCCCATGTGACTTGAGCGGTGTCTCTGACCCAGCTCTGGGCTTGACTTGGCGGTGTTCTTCCCACGGCCGGGTGATGTCTGCCCTGACATAGATAGCTGTTTGTGGACTAGTAGGTCAGAGCTGTGGGGTTTTGGGTTGGAGTCACATGGTATCCTGGTGGGAGACTTACTGTGTTTCTCCTGGCTGTGACTCCGAAGGCCACGAGGGTCCAAGTCGGTGAGGGATCCCCCTCGGGGGCGGCACGACTGGGGGAATGTGTAGTACTCCGGGGTGGAGCTGTGCCTCCTTCCTGTGGATTCACACACATCTCCTGGTTTCCGGTGGTGTTCCGAAGAGATGCATCTTGACCCAGGACTGGCGTTGGAGCCCAGGGGGGGGGGTTTGAGGTTGTCTGGGCTGTCCGTGCTCCCTGCGCTGGAGGTGCTGCTTCCATCGCCTACATCCCGCAGCAGGCCAGGTGCTGGGACACCTCCACCCATTTGATACAAGCTGCTCTGACTGTCAATGGAGCTCCTACGCCCGGTTCCTCCGTGCCCCCCCACAACTCCTCCAGCCACGGCAGCAGTCCTCTCCTCCTCCAGCATGAGGCACACCTCCTTGAGCTCCAGGTTTTCCCGGATGACCTCCAACTGGCGCTGCTCCAGCTCCTTCAGCTTCTGCAGGTAGATGGCCACCTCCTTCCTCATCAGGCCGGCGCTGTAGCGGCCCAGACGCTGCCACTCTCTCGAAACACGCTTTCCCTTCTGCCGGTCGTCGTCCAGGAAGCAGCACAGGTCCCGCAGCTCCTGGTTGTCCTCCTGCAGTTTCTGGTTTACGTCCTGGTTAACATTGGCACACAAAAAGAAGCACACACAGAGCAGAAGTAAGTGATGATATCCACATTCCTGCTGGAATTTCTAAATGTTTTAATTCTTCAATCCCACATGCTGCTTCGCAAAACAATAGGGCCGTTACTACCTCAGTACTACATCAGTAGTTTTTCAGAGCAAGTATATATTTGTTGTCATGTTTCCAGGTTTTCTGTCATGTGCACAGCTAAGGGATTTGTAAAGCAGGAGCTGAAAATCCCACATTTTCTTAATTGTGATTACAGTAGTAAGTGTTTGTAAAATCGCACTTGTAGCTTAGACTTGCAACTGAACACTAAGCCAACGATAAAAATAATAAATATTGTGTACTGCCATTTAATATAAAATCATCTTATGATTACAGGATATGATTTGTGTTCCATTTCCCCAGCCCTAATACATAATTGTTGTCATTTGACATAAAGATATTTACTGATTTACTGTGATATAAAACACAGAAAAACCAGAAAACCTAACATTGGAAAGGCTAGAACAAGGTAATAATTGGCTCTATTTAGCATTTACTCAAGAACCATCCTTAAGGACTATTTTGACATACTTGTACTTGACTTGAGTATTTCCTATTCCAAACTACTTTTGAAAAGCAGTATTTTAGTTTTTACTGCACTACATTTAATTAAGACTACTAGCTACTTTATGAAAATAAAAACACATGATAAATGATATGATGCAGTACTGTATTACTTATATACCCAGTTTTTTAAGAGGAAATACAATTGGCACCACATGTATTTGTTGGTTATACATGTTATACATTTGTTGGTTATAAAAGTGATTATGCAAATTAAGTCAAATATAATAATGGTTTACTGTGAAGAAGCTGCTCTGCATATTGAGTACTATGTTTGATACTTGAAGTACATTTTGCTCATAATAAAGGGTTGTACTTGTAATGGAGTATTTTAAGATTATATTATATTATATATACAACATTATTTGTTATTTTACCCCCCCCCCCCCCCCCCCCACGCTCGCGAAACAGAGGGCCTCATCATCTAACTTTGCTTGGGGCCTCAAGTTGACCAGGGACGGCCCTGCTTTTACTCAAGTAAAGGGTCTGAGTATTTCTTCCACCTCAGCCATTTTGCCCTTTTGAGGCCATATTTCAGATTGCTTCGTCTCTTAATGATCATGCCCTAGAAGATGATTAGGGCCACATGTGATTTTCTTTTTTTGGATCTGACCAAAAGTGTTTTTTTATTTGTTTTATTCTGATATTAAAGTCAGAAATCTGAGAAAAACAATTCACATCTGGCCCTTATCATCTTCCATATACTGTGCAGATCCCCGACCTCCCCACCCAGCTCACCTTTAGACTCCGGATCTCGTTCAGGTGCTGCTGGAGTCTCCGGTTGACCTCCCGCATCAGATTGCCGTGCTCCACGATGGCGCTCCTCTTCCCCGCCTCTGCTCTCCGCAGTCTCCGCACCAGCTCCTCTTTGCCCCACTTCAGCAGCTCCTCGTCGCTGATTTTGGAGATATCCTCCGCCGGACTCTCAGCGCTTTTGGACACCTGCGCGCCTTTCTCCATCCTTTTAGTTGAGGTTAGCAAGGGAAATAAGTCTGGTCGATTTCGGAAACACCAAACCAAGCCTGACAGGGATAACTCTGATCCTACTTATGTTCCCACCAACCCACCCATTTTTTTTACGTCCGTGGATTTACATCGTTTTCAGTTAGGCTGAGCCTCGCCCATGCTGCGGCTCGGGTCTCCGCTCGGGTCTCTGCGGCTGCTGCTGCTCTCTCCCGACTGTTAGAGCTTCAGTCCGCACTCTGCTGCGGCTCTGGCTGTGCCCTCGCTCGGCTTGACGGGGCGGTTTCTCTCCAGGTGCATGCCGGCCGCCTTTGCGCACTCCCGCTGCTCAGTGCGCACTACCGCTGCCCGACCGCTGGGGAGGAGGAGGGGAGGGAGAGGAGGAGGTGGACTACAAGGGGAGGCTGCAGGTGTATATCCAGGATGAGAAGGTGCGTTAGTGTGGAGGAAAGAATCTCCCTTCTCTCACTCCTTCACCCTCTACCTCTCTCCTAACGTCTTTTGTATCGGGTTGCGCCATCTGCTGATGGAATCCGGCCATTACTAAAACATAATAATGATAATAAACTTTTTTTATATGGCAAAAACATAGTTGCAAAGTGGTTTAACATTAAAATACACTGACAGCAAGTGAATTAAACAAAAGCAACTAAACATAAAAACATATAGTAAAACACATAAAATAATACAACAAAAATAAATAGAATACAAATAAATGAAAAATAAAATAAGACTAAAAATTAAATTACATAAAGGCAATTCTCAAAAAAATTACTTAAAAGAGCTAACATTTTGCAGCACTGCTCTCCTCAGGACCTTGGAACGACCGACAGGAATTCCTCTGAGGATCTCAGGGTGGGGGCCATGGGGTGGGGCAGAGGGATCTAAAAGGTCAGATAAATAACTTGGGGCCAGGCGTCTCAAGGCCTCAAAGGTCATCAATAAAGTCTTAACATTTTTATTATACCGACCAAAGTTCCAGCACACAAATAGTATTTAGAAGTGCACAGCAGCTTCAGAAATTATACAAATAAAATATAAGCTGTCTTTAAATTAAAAGATTTTAGCGGTGATGATGCGGTACTCGGTTTATCTAAGCCAGGGGTCTCAAACTCAAGGCCCGGGGGCCAAATCCGGCCCGCGACTTCATTTTATGTGGCCCCGCAAGAGCTTGCAAAGAATATAATACGTTTATTATACGGTTACATGCCACTTTACAGAAGCAGGTTGCCAACTACATGTCCCACAATGCATCTCGTTTTGTGACATGCGCACTGAAGAGACTTGCAATTATTTGCCCTGGACTTCTGCTTTCAGACTAATTACAAAGTTATTATCCTATCCGATAATAATCCAATTCAGAAGCAGTAATGTAATATAATACATTATTTTATATATATATATGATATAGTTATATAGTTACAACCGGCCCTTTGAGTGCAACCTTTATGCAAATGTTGCCGGCGATGAAATTGAGTTTGACACCCCTGATCTAAGCTGTTTACCCTGCTGATTGCATTTGTACTTCAACTATTATAAAAGTGGTGCTAGTATGTAGAGAGTGTCCTGCTGATCAAAACGTGGGCCCTGTTTGTGCACCACTGAGCATCTTTCATATAGATAATGCAAATATTGCCTGACTCTATGAAATATACCCACATATTCCTCCCCCTTTCACTTGCGTTCCGCCTACAAACTCCGCCAGGACAGTGTCACGTCTCGGCTCAGTCTAATTAATGCAGAGGGAAAATTACAACTGATTTGACTTTAACAACGTTTAAGACTTCATCTTTTAACTTTGAGTAAAACAAATCTGCTGATTTATGTTGATAATGGAAAAAAGGCTTTTTCATCCCAATGACGTTATGGACTGACATGGAATTTCCGACACTGTTTGGCCACAACAAAATGTTGCTTCAGAATCAGGTAACAATCAGAAACAGGTTTATTGCCAAGTAAGTTCACAAGTATGAGGCAATAAACCGGTTTCTGATTATTTTCTCTGATTCAGCTCACTTGGGGGCTTGCTCTAATACTATAGATCGAGAAGTTCTAGTACTCAATTGGTAATGTGCATCAAAACAATGAATCATTAAGGAGAAGACACTTTCATTATCATTCCAAAACAAACAGTGAGGCCAAGACTGCCTGGAAGAGGAACAATGTGGCAGGGCCTGTGTGACCTGATGGACTGGTTGCTTGTGATGGAACATTCCCCTCAGTATAAATGAGCAGCAGAGTGTCTGCTGCTGCGTCTGTGAAGAAACGTTAGAGAGTCGAGAGGATGCAGCTGTTACCCTCCCTGCTGATTCTGGTGCCGCTCTGCCGAGGACAGGAATGGGAAGCTCCAGAGTATTGCCGTGGCAGCCCATGCGCCCAATTCACAGTTGTTAATAAAACAACGGTAGGTTGTTAGCGCAGTTCACACACAAACTGTTGTTTTTTGCACTTTCTCTAAAGTTTTATTAAAAACAATTTATATTGTCTACAGGACTTTGAGGAGCGTTTGTATGTTGCCACTGCATGGATTACAACCAAGATACCCAACCCTACGGCGTATGATCTGATCGCTGCAAGTGCGAGGCTGAAGAGTGTGGCAGGTATGTCAGATGTCTTTGGTGGTTTACTAATCTATTGTCCAAAGAATGCTTAACAAAATCACACAGTTTTTAGCTGAAATGTTCAGAGATAAAGCCTCAGGAAAAGCAAGATATCTAACGATTGCATAAAATACATTTTATAGACATAGTATCACGGTGGGAAGAAAAGGGAGAAGGCCAGCACCCTTTGTTATGTGAATGTTCTTGGGTTATCTCTATTACTAAGGGAAGTTAGCACAACATTCACAGAGTGCAGAGTGTATACAGGTGTGGTTGAATCAGAGTACATTTAATAAATAGTTATAAAATTAAAAGCAAATTTGATAAACCAGGGCAATTCATGTGCTGTAAATAAACTACTAAAACCAGTGGTGGATTGAAGTACATTTACTCACGTACTGTAGAACTAGTTTGACATTATTTAAGTATGTTTAATAACTTTCAGTCCAGCACATTCTGGAAGCGGATATTGAACTTTTTAATTTTGTTCAACTCATAGTTACCTTTTACATATATAACACACACGATAGCTTATATGAATTAGCATTGTGTTACATATTGACCCAGTGTTTTACAAAGTATCTTAAAGGTCCCATGTCATGGCCATTTCTACTGATCATAATTCCATTGTTGAGGTCTACTAGAATAGATTTATATTGTGCAATTTTCCAAACTCACATTGGTTTCTCATACAGCATCTCTGTATAGTATGTGTTCACTCTCTGTCCTAAACGGCTTGTTGATTATTTTCGTCTTGTTGTGAGACAGCGAGACACATGCCCCTTTCACACCAGCGCTTTTTCAGCTCCGGCTCGGAGCTGAAGCCTGAAAAGCGCCGGTTTTTCCTGTTCTCACCGCAGCGGCGCCGGCTCTTAGCTCCGGAATCCGGTTCACTTCCAACTCCAAAAAATTGTCGGTCTAGAGGCAAGAGCTTCGGAGCTAAGAGGTGGCGTCGCTTACGTCTCTCTTACGTCGAGGCGTGCAGGAAACTAAACCCACCTCCCCTGAACATGGGTCAACTGAAGAGTCTCGTCATGCCTGCCTACAAGCAGTAGTGCTTATAAACACACTTTATAAAGTCAGGCAACACTAACCAGGCTTCGTGTGATTCTGTTTATTTGTACCTTACTTTGACCATCCGTTCACTGCTATTGATCATTGTGGAGAGAGGCAGACGTTTTGTTTTGTATTATAGCAGCTATCGGTAGTAGAATCATAATAAAAATAGGCCGGTAAAATGTGCCTGTAGAAAACGGTGTAGGCCTATGCCACAATAGGATAGCAATAGCAAGTAGTCAGTTTAGCTTCGGTTGCTATGCTAACATCACCCATTTTATACCAGATAAACTTTCATAAGAGCGTTGTGATACAAAACAGCGTCCATTCAGACTGACACACATTCACTTAGGCTAAGGGGAACTGGGGATATGTATCAGCTGCTTGTGTGAGTCGGACAGTGAATACTTTAGAGCGGCCGCTGCAGTGTGAGCTAACCGGGAGCTAACGGAGGAGAATAAACTCCCATGGAATAGCAGCCAACAGTGCAGCGGTCGGTAAATGCTGCAGAAACACATTAATAAACAATGAACCACGGCACTCTGGAGCAAGGTATAAGGTTGGAGAAGTCGTTATTCAATTTATTCTGGCTTCGTGTGATAAAAAGCAACACGATCATCGACCCGACGCAGTTCCCCGTTGTTGTTGTTGTTGTGAGCGTCGTAATGCCGTTGGGGAGCAAATCAGCGATGTAAACGGTGACGTCATGACGCAGCAGCGGCAGCACCAGTCGGGTGCTGGGCGGTGTGAACAGAGCGGGAGCAGAAAAGGGAAACCGGAGCTGAACCAGAAAAGCTCTAGCTCGGAGCTAGAAAGGGAAAAGCGCTGGTGTGAAAGCCGCAACAGTGAAACCCAAGCCGAAACCAGGCCGAAACCAGTCCTAAAAAAAACGTCAGTGTTAAACTAATAAAGTATGCGCAGTCATTGTTCTTCTCTCATCCATTTATTCAGAAGTAGGAACCAGCAGCATGGCAGTGCTGCGTAATCAACAACAAGAGATATATCGCTCCACGCTTGCTTATGACGTCACAATGGGACATACCATTAAACATGGAGTAAGGGTGCACAATGGGACGTACCATTAAACATGGAGTTAGGGTGCTATTACAAAGTAATACTTAACACTCCCACTCAACCTTAACTCTATGGGTTACATGAAAACAAAACAACAATATAATAAGGCTTCTCTTTTGCCTTAACAATGTGAATACACTCGTGCACTTTTAAGTGCCAAACATGTCTTGAGCAAACCTCTTTAGTTGTAGCTTTGTAGCTGGCTTGGTCATGACATCAGCAATCATTAACTCAGTAGGGCAGTACTCCAAAGTTAACTTTCCGTTATTTACAGTTTCCCTAATGAAATGGTACTTAATATCAATGTGTTTGCTCATTTGCCTGTTTACTGGGTTTTTGGCAAGGGCTATAGTACCTTGGTTGTCCTTGTACACCTTTGTTTGTGCATACTGTGTCTATACCTTTGAGTAGCTGATCTAAATAGATACATTATTGTATAGCTGATGCTAAAGACATGTATTCTGCCTCACAGGTGGATAATGCCACTGTTGGTTGTTTCTTTGTTTTCCATGAGATCAGAGAGCTTCCTTTACTTAGACTGACACAATATCCTGATGTGCTACGCCTGTCTGTTGCATCTGATGCCCAGTCAGCATCACAGTACACTTTTAGACCTAGTGCCTCTCTGTCATTTCTCTTAAAGCATAACTCCTGTTCTGTTGTGCCTTTTAGATATATGAACACATGTTTTACTGTGTTCCAATGTTCCTCTGTTGGTTCAGCCAAGTGCTGAGATAGTTTACTGACCACAAAACCTATATCTGGTCTAGTACATGTGGACAAGTAAATTAAACTTCCCACTGCCTCTCTGTATTTAGTTGGGTCTGTCAATTTTTTAGAATCAACTGTTTGTTCAAGTTTTGGCTCACATGGGGTGCCCCTGGCCTTGCAATCCTGCATTTCAAATCTCTCTAGGATTTTGCCTATATATTTCTTTTGGGACATTTTAACTTCACCTTCTGTTTGGTAAAAATCAATTCCCAGGAAATGTTTCAACTTTCCCAGGTCCTTCACTTTAAACCTGTCAGAAAGCATAATCTTTACACCTTCCAGTACATTTTTGTTGCTTGCTGCTATGATCAGATCGTCAACCCATACAATCATGATGACCTTTTCATCATGTTTCTCTCTTGTATACACACAATGATCAGCTGGATTCTGTATGAAACCGTTCTCACTCAGACATGTGTGTAACATAGCATTCCAGTTTCTACCTGATTGCTTAAGGCCATAGAGAGACTTTTGCAACTTACAAACTAGGTTTTCTCCAGTTATTGACTTTTCTTCATAGCCTTCTGGTTGCTCCATATATATTTCACAATCAATGGGTGCATGCAAATAGGCTGTCTTAACGTCCATCTGGTGTACAATGAGTCCCTCTTGTGCTGCTTTCTGCATGAGTACTCTTACACTTGTCATATCAGCTGTGGGAGAAAATGTCTCTTTGTAGTCTGTTCCTGGTTTTTGACTGTAGCCTTTTGCTACAAATCTTGCCTTGTATTTATCTGATCCATCAATGTCACTTTTGAGTGCATAGACCCATCTTCCCCCCACTGCCTTTTTACCTGGTGGCAACTGGGTTAGGTGGAAGGTCTCGTTTTCCTCCAGAGATCGCATCTCCTCGTCCATGGCATTCTTCCACTGCCTTGACTTTGCTGACACTATGGCATCATTGTAGGTTTGAGGGATATCACAGACTGCTCTGTAGCAAAAGTCCATGCATGTGTGTGCTTTGTCCTCTGCATCCTCAGTCTCAAAATCCCGTAGATGAGTTGGTCTCCTTTTGTTTCTCTGTGGATACCTTTTGGTTACAGTCTCTGTGGCTTTACTCGGCTGTGTACATTCAGTCTCTTCAAGTAAAGTCTCAGGCACATAAATCTGAATACCATGACTTGATACATTTTCCACATTTATATCATTGCCTACGGCCCTGGAGTGTGCATCCTCATGACCACATTCTATGTGTGATTCAGATGTTTGTGTTTCCTTTTCTTTTGCGCTTTTGGTTGTGAATTTCACCAACCTGTGCTTTTGCACCTTCTCTGTTTCTGGGTAATACACCAGATTAGCTGGGCTGTTTTTATCATAGCCAATGAAAACCCCTTGCTCACATCTAGAGTCTAGCTTCCCTTTTTACTTGTTTGTAAGCAAGACATGTTGTACCAAATTTTTGCAGTTTGGATACATTTGGTTATTTGCCTGTGAACAACTCGTATGGCGTTTTCTTTGTGCGCCTGCTGTAGCACCTGTTCCTTACAAAAACTGCAGTCTGCATAGCGTAGTTCCATAGCTTGTCTGGTAACCCACTCTCTATCAGTAGGCATCTGCTCATATCATAGAGAGTTCGCCAGCTTCTCTCTGCTGTATCATTTTGGTGTGGTGAATAGGGTGCAGACGTTTCATGTCTAATCTTATTTTTAGTTAAGAGTGCCTGAAAGTCTCGGCTTGTAAACTCAGTGCCGTTGTCTGAACGAATACACTTGACTTCTCCATAAGGTGCTATGTCTGCCAAGAACCTTTCTGTGGCTTGCACTGTATCACTTTTTGACTTCAGAAAATATACCATCACGGTGCCTGAATAGTCATCTGTAAATGACTGTGCGTATCTGTGGCCTTCTCTGCTCAGTGTTGACATGGGACCAGTTAAATCAGTATGTACTAGCTCTAAGGGTTTCTCAGCCTTTCTGTCTGGCTCCCTATTTCTAGTCTGTGTGAATTTTCCTTGTGTACACACTTCACATAACTGACTAGGCTTAACTGCTGTTCCTTTTATCTCCATGCCTGTCACTACACTTTGTAATTTCTGTACATCTTCATAGTTGCAATGACCCAAAATGTCATGCCAAGTTTGCATATCATGACACCCTTTACATTTTTCAACATTTTCTTTAACAGTTGGCAAGTAATACAAATGTCCACTCTCGTGTATGTCAAACCTGCTACTGTCCTTGGTAAGTTAACCATGTGGCTTTCTCCTTTCTTGAAGGTGATTGTCGCTCCTCCATTTGCAGCTCTTGCCACAGAGAAGATGTCATGTGGGTATGAAGTGCATCCCGTAGCTGTGCGCTGTGCTGTCGTCCAGTGTCGTCTAGCAGATGCACGATCGCTGTTCCTCTGCGTTGTGCTATTCCGCTGCATTTGGTCCCGTCAGCTGACTCCACTGAATGTGTCCCTGAAAGGAATGAGTCATCAAAGCTGTCAAACTTTTCAATATCGTTCACGATGTGGGATGTTGCTCCAGCGTCCACCATGATGCCTCTCATCTCTATGTTGTCTGGAGGTCTCCCGCTCTTCGTGTGCTTTGCCTTGAAGAATTGGTCTTGTTCGCTGTTTTCCTCCTCTTTCACTTTTCTGACACCATCTTGTCCCCCTTTTTTCTTGCACAGGGATTCTTCGTGTGTGTTATTTTTGCAGTAACCACACCACACTTTTCTGTAACATGTTCTTGCCTTATGCCCTCTTATTCCACATTTGTAGCATATAACGTTAGCATCTTCTTATTTTCTATTGTTAGCAGACATCCTGCCGGGGCCTCTGCCTTGTCTAACATTAGTTTTCATCACGTTATCTGTGGTTTCTTTTATCTTCCATTTTTCTGCCTCTTCGTATACACGCAGTCTCCTTTTAAAGTCTATGAATGTAACGTTATCTTCATTCTGCGTTACATGAACAGCCAGTGGCTTAAAGGTGTCTGGTAGTCCTCCTATTATCATGGCGATTATGAGTCCGTCGCTCATGGTCTCACCTGTTTCCCTCAAAGCCGTGATAATGTTCTCCGCCCGTATAAGGTAGTCAGTAACACTTTAGCTGTTTGTCACGTGTAGCTTGGTCAACGACGTGTAGAGGTTTATTATCCGTGGTTTACTTTTTCCAGAATAATGTTCTTTCAATATTCTTAGAGCCTTCCTGCCATCATCAGCGGCATCGTGTCTTATCAGTGATAGGCTTTTATCATCTATCAGTCTTATTAGCTCAGCATAGCAATCAGCATTCTTTCTCCTGTCTTCTGTTAGCTGTTCAGGACTATTTCCAGTGGGTTCATGGAGAACAGTTTCTTTTAATTTCAGGATATGTAGGCAACCTAAGAATCTTGTTTCCCAAAGGTCATACTTATCGTCGGTTCCATCGAACAAAAGCTGTGGCGCGAAAACTCCCGTTGCTCTGCTTGCCATCTTGTTAGCACAGCGATTAGCTTGCTAAACTAGCTTGTTAGCATTGGGTTCTCACGTAATACGTCGCGTGTAATATCTCCCGCCACTTCTTTACTTATTGGTCCACATAGTTTGTAGAAGTCCCGTGTAATACTTCGCGTTAAACTTCTTCCGGAAAACTAACATGAGTCCAACTTTGCCTGGGCCCATAACCTGTTAAACTAATAAAGTATGCGCAATCATTGTTCTTCTCTCATCCATTTATTCAGGGATAGGAACCAGCAGCATGGCAGTGCTGCGTAATCAACAACAAGAGATATATCGCTCCACGCTTGCTTATGACGTCACAATGGGACATACCATTAAACATGGAGTAAGGGCGCACAATGGGACGTACCATTAAACATGGAGTTAGGGTGCTATTACAAAGTAATACTTAACAGTCAGAATTCTGACTTTAATCTCACAATTCTACGGAGCCCTGGAGGGTTCATAGAGAGAAAAATAAATAAAACGTGGCCACGTTTTACTTTCTCGTGCGCACGCTTTAGTAACTTGTGCGCACGAGTTACTAAAGCGTGCGCACGAGTTACTAAAGCGTGCGCACGAGTTAATAAAGCGTGGCCTCGTTTTATTTAAATTGAGGGATTCCTGTCCGTGACTCACAGTATCTGCTGCCCACAGCTGTTTTGTAGAAGGAAAACCTCCTTCACTTTATGAAATCTCTGCGGCACCAGTGGCCTGTACTACGAAGCAGGATTTGCTATTTACTATTCATTCATGAAGTATGACGCTGCGCTGTCAGCACGCGTCTCCATGTTTGTGATTGGTCAAATGTTGCTAACCCCGTCCCTTTCACGTGAGCGCGCTCTCAGCCGGACAGAGAAACCCTGGTTGATTTACTGAGTTGATAACCAGCTTCGTAGGACCGCTTATCGACATCGCGTTTGTTAGGGTCAGTTAAGCCGGGTAAATCAAACATATCCAGGTCCAGGGTCTGTTGAACTGGCTTCGTCGTACAGGGCACTGGAGGCAGTAACGTGTAACTCAGCAGAATCTGAGAAGAGCAGCACCAGCTGCAAAGAGCTGTGCCTTTTACTGTTTACTTCACTGCGTTTCCCTTCATTAGAACAGCTGAATAGAGATCGAGGCTGCTACGTTTAACCACACACACACATCGAACTACCAGAGTATTCCCCCTCGCTTTATGAAGGAGATGTCCTGTCACCGGGGCGCATGATGTGTGTGTGTGTGCTCAGCTCCGCTCTGTGTGCGTGTTCGTGTGTATCCGACACCACCGGCATTTGTTTTCAAATTACCACGAACAGCACACACACAAAACGAGGCCACGCTTTATTAACTCGTGCGCACGCTTTAGTAACTCGTGCGCACGCTTTAGTAACTCGTGCACGAGAAAGTAAAACGTGGCCACGTTTTATTTATTGTTCTCTCTATGAACCCTCCAGGGCTCCGTACAATTCTGACTTTAAAGTCAGAATTTTTTTTTTAAAGTCAGTCATTTTTTTTTTTTCTGAGATTAAAGTCAGAATTCTGACTTTTTTCTCAGAACAAAAAAAAACATGTTTTTTTAATGTGGCCCTAATCCTCTTCCGTAGAAAAGGATTTGTGCCATGTGAATTTATTTTTGAGATCTGAGAAACTGAATTTTATTTTATATTTATGAGGAAAAATTGTCACTTGTTAGCAAAACGTTTCTCAGAATACTTAATTTAATCTCAAAACATTTTCCACATTTCACTGCATAGTGATTCACTTGCCATTTGAAAACCATATCACACACCCAATGCAGACAACAAGAAGAACACTTGGCTTTAATTCGTCCCTGGAACTCAAGTGTTGAGAATCTATCCTGGTTCTCATGAAATGGGCGGGGTATATCAATCAATCAATGTTTATTTATATAGCCCAATATCACAAATGTTACATTTGTCTCAGTGGTCTTCACAGTTTGTACAGAATATCAGTATGACAATACGACACCCTCTGTCCTTAGACCCTCACATCACATCGTATATTATTGGTAGAAGAACAACAGGCCAGAGATTAATTTTAAATAAATCAAGCAGATTGTCCTCCAGATATTGTTGAATTTGTCTAACCTCTCAGAGATTTTTGCCTCTATCAAACGTCTTGCAAACATTTTTTAGTTTATCCAAGTGTCTTTCAATGAAAGGTTTTAACACAAGCTTGGTATCCTTAAATCAATACAAAATAATCAATAGCTCCAGGGAATTGTTACACATTTTGTAATTGTTGACAAGATGACAAACATGCGTACGTCCTAATGCTGTGCAGTTTTCCATATAATTTTCTTATATAATTTCTCCTCCAGGTCACTTTGACGCCTGGCCGGTGCTGGTCAACGTCAAAAATGGCAAAGAGTACGCACTATCCTGGTTTGTTCCTCCTGACATGAACATACCTGAAATCACTGACCCATCAGTCCAACTGGAAATTAGACCTGAAGTCAACGTCTACGTCAGGTGAACAATAATTACTTCTTTTTTTTTTTTAAATGTTGCTATTGAATAGTGTTGGAATGAGTCCTAAACACCAAAATGAGTTAGTATTTAAACATTTCTGGTTCCTTTGTCTCAAAGTCAACAGTTTTTTGAATGTCAGCCTGTCTTGAAAATGGCAGTTTCTAAAATGGCTAAATGAGAATAAAAAATCATCATGCCAAGCCTCCTTTAGTTTAGCCGTGGCGATGTGAAGTCATGCAACAGTGATGTCTTTTTTTTATAGCAAAACGTTAAACTTCAACTGTAACAAAACCTCTAACAACGTAAACATGTGTTAGCCACTAATGAAAGTCCAATGGAAAAAACCCATCGCTTTTTGTCGAGGTAGCCCTTACAATGCTAGCTTCCGTTCATTATTGAACATATTAGTCATCAAACAATAAAAAAAATTGTAAGATTTGTATAGTTCAGAAATAGATAACAAATCTAAATAGGACAAAAGTGTTATTTAAACTCAGAAATTACCACATGTAACCTTTATGGGGCTCCTAATTGACTGTGGCTAAGAATGAAAAAACCCCTTTACCAACTTGACAACACATGGGCAGCATTAAGAAAATACATTCAACTGCAACACCAAAAAGCATTTAGGTTAGCTAGGTTAGCAAGCTAGCTTACAGAAGATCTGCAATGATATCTGATCACATTTTTAAAATAAGCCAAAAAAAAAAACTTACATTTTAGGTACATTTCCATTGAAATTGACAATTGGCTAACTTTATAATCCCTGAATGTCAACAAGAGCTCTTTTTACCGTCCCCGTTTCCTTGTTTTTTGTGTTTTGAGCTTCTTGCAGCAGTTATTTTATGCAGCGCTTTTTGTAAAACCAATGCATCTTTGGTGAAGTTGGTGAATGTTTTTTAAATGCTGCACATGTGTTGTCAAGTTGGTGAATATGTTTCTTCATTTGCATGTGTTTTGGCACATATGCATTTTTACATCAGCAACATTTTTGAAACTGCAGCGCGTTTGCACTTGTCAGCCACCATAGTTTCAACATAACATGTATGCAAATCAAAACAGAAAATAATTGTAAAAACTAATCACATAAACACGTCAGACAGCATTCTGAACCTTATAGTGAATGAAAAAGGTATTTGATAAAACAATTAATTTGTGTAATTGTTTCCGCATCATATTAAAGGGTCTTTCGTGGCACTCCAAGCATCGACCAAGGAAAACTGAATGCAAATGAACTTTGTAAAAGCTTGCGCAAAGCTGAAAAAACCTTCAGCATTGAAAGATATGCCGGGGCCGCCTATGAATCCTATTTCGCTCTTACTCACCACAATGAGGTCTGGATAGACAAAACCCAGTAACATGTGCATCCTACTGTATAATCCCTTTAGTATCACTTTATTCATCCTCTATATGAAGATCTTCAGTGTTAGACTTTCGTGTTAAAACGTGTAGTAAACGTATCAGAAATAGACACATATTACACTAATAAATGCAGTATTGTCCCCTCAATGGTAAGGATGCACAATGAAAAATTGTTATTGTATTTTTTGGGGGGGGTTCTGTACCAAACAAGGAGATTATATGAAGTCTGCAGAATGCTGTTTGTAGGGCAGAAAAGGGTGTCATGCTTGTACACCTATTTGAGGAATGTTGTGATATTTCCCAGCAGCCCTAACTACTATGTATGTATAAATAAATCATTATTGTTTCTGATAAAAAAATATATCTGCTGTAAACAATCAATAAACAGTTTTAAACGCTTTACGTGTGCATGTGTGGTTATTGTCACAAGTCTTCCCTTCATATTTAATTAGAAAGATCATCACATGTCAGCCCTGAAGGAAGTCCCTGGCACAGCTCTTCTCCAATTAAACAAAAATGTGACAACTACATCCTTCTTCCTGTTTAAAACCTTTGTGCAAAAGCTGAAGGCATTTGACTTGTCTAATACTCAATCTTAGTTCCAAACAAAACAAGAACAGAGAACATGTCGTCACAATCAGGAAGGACATCTACAGATAGAGTTGTCTGCTTCTGTCATGAAGAAGCGCTTTCAATCTGTTAAGAGAGACCAGCTCCCTGTGTATATATTATTATTATGGCTCATCCTATTTACCAGAATCTAGCTTTTACAATGAAGTCAATTATGCTCTTAACGCAATGCCTATAATATACACGCACCGCAAAACAAACTGGTGACTGGTTTGAATGTCTTCATGGAAATGGAATCCGGTTTGACTGCATTGCAGGAAGAAATGGACCTGAGAGAGTTATGCGCAGAGCAAGAAGATTTGATTTGTTCACCTACACACCCCGTGAACTGAAGACAAAATATGTTAATAACCAAACGACCCATTTGCCATGCATATGAGTTCTTTTTTTACCACATTCTACGGGTGGTTGCACAATCTGCCAAGTTGTCTTGGGAGCAGGCTTGAGGAAAGAGAGGTAACTGTACTCCCAACAAATAAGACGTAATCAGATTACTGTTACATTTCTAAAAATTGGGGATTACAATGTTAGTAAAAACCTAAAAAGAGCATATAGTGTTTGTTGTAAAAGGATCAGATGTTGTCTCTTCTCTGTCAGCTGTACTGTTCTATAGGCTAACACTTTAAGTGTGAATCTATACGCCTACTGCCTGAATCTGCTTTATGGTTTTCACTTTCTTTGGTTATTTTGTTCTGTTTTTAATTCAGTAGGTGAACCTATATGGTTAAACTAAAACAGAGCGTTTCCTGTCAGCTCAGATTTTATTTCTGCCTTTTTAAACTGTAGTATGTGCTCATGTGTTTCAGTGTTGGGCTACTGCCTGAATATGCTGAATGAAAGGCACGTTTTCCCATCGATACAATCTCTTAGCAGAGCACACATTTGTAATTTGCTTTCTTATTTCTGAGGTTACATTGTAATCCAAAAGGAAAGTAATCAGGTTACTTAAATTATGTAATAATTAGATTAGAATATATATATTTTTTACAGGTAATAAGGTTAGGGTTATTTATAATGGAATGTTTTTTTAACGTAACTCTCCAAACCCTCATTGTGAATATGGAAACATTTAAATCCACTGATGAATTCCAGTACTAGTAACGGAGCCTGTGATGCCTGATACTGAGCACTAGATGGTGATGTAGACAAAATCAACAAATAAGAGCATATGTGTAAGGAGCAGCACAAAACAACAGGCTGAATATGAAAATGTTCCTCTAGAACTATCACAAAGCCTTTGCTCAGTACAATATGTGCAGTCACATGTCCCAGCATGTTGGAAAGATGTATGAATTATTTTAGGTAAGCTCAATTGTTTTGATATGATAACTTGATAGTCTGTTGTTTAAGTGTGGAAATGTGTGCTTTGACAGTCAGAGGAAGAAGAATTGAACCACAATGAATGAGTCCTGCATTGAAAATCTCCCTTAAAGGGGACCTATCATGCAAAATGCACTTTGTGATGTATTTTATACATACATATGTGCATGGGCGTAGGAAGCATCCTGAATGTGGGGGGGGGGGATTTTTAACGGGGGGTGTGGGGATCCCCCCCCACAAAATAAAAAATAGATTTCCTGTATTCTGGTGCATTTTAACAGGTGGTTTGATACTTTTATGTGGCTATACTAGCATGAGGAAAATGATGGGTACATTTTGTAATTTCATCCAGTAGTAAAGAAAGGAAACATATTTGATTATTAATTCAGAGCCGTCTTTGAATTAATAAAAAGCAGTTTAAATGCCCATTTTTTGTACATTTATATACAACAATAAATATTTGTGGGTGCATTGAGAGATATTGTTGTGGAGAGTCATTTATATATAAATCGCAAAATACATTTGTGAATCCTTCTGTGAGCATTTATTAATATTGAGACTGATCTGACTCCATACAGATGTTAAGTTCACCTAGGAATGGTATCATTGACTTAAATGTTCAAATAAATGTTGCTCTTCTGTCTATATTGGTCATATGATGCCCCTTGACTGAAATATTTCCTGTTCAATATCCCCACTGATTTCCTCAAAATTCTGGGATGAGAGTCCACATCACAATTTACTCTAAACTGTCATTTCCCTTTCACCACTCACCTCAGCAACGGACCTCTCTCCACTGTCCCTGTGTTCTGCCTCTGACTCACTCTCAAGCGCCTAGATGTCAAGAGAGGTGGTGAAGTGATCATTATTTATTGAGCAGTATACTCTTTCACATTGAATCATAACAAGTCATACTGAATGTAAATACAACTGACTCTAAAGTAAGTCCCAGTCTGTGACATTGGACATTTTGAAGACTCAAAGTCCCAAGCAGTAGGTAGAATATTAGCTAGTCTATGTAATGTGCACAGAAAATAAATAGTTAATTGAATACTGGGATGGAAATTGCCTATAACGCACTCAGTAAAACATAAACACACACAAAAAGCTTCTTGTGGCGGCTCAATCCCCAGTTACATTTGAGTCGCCGAGAGGCTAAACTTGGCTTTAAACTGTGACGCGTTTTCGAAAAGAAAGTCCATGTTGAAGCAATATAGTTTTAAGGATATTTAATAAACAAAATCAAAACATAGTAACTATGGACAAAACGGTCAACAGAAAAAATGACAGCACAAGCTCACCCTCTGTCATGTGCACTCGACATCAAACAGGTGACTTATAAACCAAACCACACCCATGTGACAATTACCGGAAGTGCTCAACAAGCAAATAAAGGTGACGTAAATAATAATAATAATAATAATAATACAAATAATGAACTTGAGCTAAGTAGTGTTATGGCACCTACAATACCGGCCCCTAATTATCATTTCACAAAATTATAATTACTATAATAAATGACAATACACACAAAATATACGTCCAGATCTCTTTCTTGGATTATTTGTTCAGAGTTCATATGTTGCAGTCTTTTTGGAAAAGTGATCATCTTTTCTCCCTAATCAGTATCAATAAAAATGATTAGTGTGGTTTGTGTGTGTGCAGGGGTTAGGAGACAACAAATAAAATAGGCAAAAATAGTCCATTTAGATTTGGCAAAAGTCCTCTGGACTCCTGAAGAAGGCTAACTTTGTTAATTGGTCTGCTCAGGAAACCAGTCTTGGTCTTGATTCGAAGTATACGCACAAGTCCCTTTTTGTCAACGATGGTCTCAGCAACTTTTCCAGTAAGCCAGGAGTTACGAGGCGCTGAGTCATCCATAATGATCACGATGTCTCCTGGTGTGAAGTTGCGTCTGATTTTTGACCATTTCTGTCGTTCTTGAAGTAGGGGAAGATATTCTTTAATCCACCTTTTCCAGAATAAGTCTGACATATACTGAACTTGTCTCCACCTGCGGCGAGCGTAAATGTCTTCCTTTTGAAACTGTCCTGGTGGCAGGGATGGTGTTGTCTTAAGGAGCAAAAGATGATTCGGTGTCAGTGCTTCTAGGTCGTTTAGATCTGTAGAAGCTTTGGTGATTGGACGGCTATTGAGAATAGCTTCTGCTTCACATAAGACTGTGTTAAGTCCCTCTTCGTCGAGACTTTGTACATTCAGAGTGGAGTTGAGAACCTTTCGTACTGATCTGATTAATCTTTCCCAAACACCTCCATGATGTGAGCCAGCTGGGGGATGGAAGATCCAATGAATTCCTTTCTGGAGAAGTGTATTGTGGATCTGACCTTGATTCCAACTTTCAATTGCCTACTTCAACTCGCGTTCGGATCCTACAAAATTAGTGCCATTGTCAGATCTGAGTTCTTTGACTTGACCACGTCTAGCAATAAAGCGCCGTAGCACATTGATGAACGAATCAGTGTCAAGAGATGATGCCATTTCAAGGTGAATTGCTCTTATTGCTAAGCATGTGAAAATGACGCCATAACATTTCACAATGCTCCTTCCACGCTTCACTCCAAAGGGTCCGAAATAATCAACTCCAACATATGTGAATGGAGGTTCATCAGGAGAGACTCTATCCAGGGGCAAATCCGCCATCTGTTGTTGTCCAGGAGTAGCATTTATACGCCGGCAGACTACGCATTTCGACAACATTCTTCTTATTGCTACGGTAGCTACAGGAATCCAATATTGTTGGCGTAGTCGGGATAATATATGGTTGCGACCACCATGACCCACTTCTTCATGAACATTTCGCAGAATAAGATCGGCAATGTGAAAGTCTTTAGCCACTATGACAGGATGTTTCATATCCTCCGGCATTGCTGCCCGGCTAAGTCGTCCACCAACCTGTAACACATTATTTTCCAGGATGGGATTGAGTTTTATGAAGGTGGCTGGTTTTCTTAACGTTATTCCTTTTCTCAGATTTGAGATTTCATCGGTGTACCCTCTTTCTTTGGCAGAAACAGATTACCTCTATTTCAGAATTTGCCAGTTCTTCAACCTGTGAGACCATTGTTTTCTTGCCTGTTGAGATTCCCTCTCTCCTTTTGTGGATAGACCTCTTTGATGTATGTTATCTGGAATTAGTTGAGGAAGAACACTTGTTTGGTTTCTCTTTCTGCTGCGCTACCCAATTCAAAAGCAGTCTTTTAAGTCTGAGCATCCATGCTACTGCCCTTTTCAAACCATTCCAAGAGGAAAAGTGATGGATTAATTGGTGACAGGATCCATTTCCTCGGAAATGATCTGAGTAGTGTTAACGGTTATGCTCCTGACTTCAGAGTCCTTTAGTGAGATTACTTTCAATCCATCAGAGTTTTGGGGCCTTTCTTCTTGAGGTCGAAGTAAAAACTGAGGTCCGGACAACCAGTTTTCTTTCTT